GCCTTTAGAGTTAGCGATTTCCTTTGTTCTCCCTCTGCAAGTGGGTTTTGGTGGTGCTGGAGCAGGGGAGGTGCGGAAAGGGGAAGGCAAAGCAAAAATATCAGGTTTAGAATAAAATCTTATGTGTGGGAAAAGCTTTACATGTGTTTCTCTAGCTCCAGTTCCCTATGCAACATGCAAAACGTGCTTCGATGCTACAGCAGCCCCGGGTTCTTACTGCTAATGCAACCAGGAGTGCTTTCCAGAGGAAGAGGAAAGAAACTATCGCTTCAAAAAAAATAATAATAAAAAAAAAGAAACAATTTAAATCAACAAGGAACGTTTTTAACAAGGAAGAGGTAAATTATGATAATTACTCTGACTGGTAGGGTCCTTAAGCATTACTAATTAGCATTTATTGCTTGGATTATTGAAACAATGTGTGTATTCCCAAGAGTGAAGAAGAACTGGGATGCTCTTTCCTTCTGAGCCCTGGGAAAAAGGCAGGGCAGCAAGAATGCGGCACAGTTGGCAGAGGGGCTCCTCTTCCAAGCACTGCGAGCAGCAGCCTGCAGAGCTGCACAGTGACAGGGGGAAACCTGAACCTTCTGCAAGCCCCCGTTTTGAACTTCTTAACTTTATACCTGCGTCCCACTTCACTTGCAGAAAAGTGAACAAAAATCAGGGCAGCACAAAAGAGAAGTGGCCGTTAAAATAGTCAAAACCATTAGATTAAAAAAAAAAAAATCTGCACATTAGAACGGCAAATTAACATTTACCTTATACTCTGAGTAGCACAGAGCCTTCTATTATTACCAGGGTTGTGCACAAACATACTATGAATAAACATTTCATCACGTTAAAGTACTGAAGTATGGCCAAGGACTTCATTGCAGAGAAATGAAAGAGTTAATAAAATCAACAAAAAAAGAGATGTATGCTGCCATTTTCAGCTAGCACTCCGACTGGGCTGGTAGGACTTTGTGAAGAGGCTGCAATCAGAGTTCAACCTATGCTGCATTTTTGGTGTCAAAGATTTATAATGAGAATAAAGTTTTGAATTAGATATCAATTAGAAAATAATCAATCACCTAATCAGCACTAGCCACTGCACAGTATCGCAATATCTCAGCTAGAATTTGGTATCTGGCCCAATAAATCCATAAATCCATATATACTTTGGAAATGATTCAGAAGGAAAAGACAGAAAAAGTATTCTTCATTTCTGAGCTACAACCCTATGCAACTTTAGGTACCGTTAACCCTTGAAATAAAAGAGCAACAATGGAAAACTGCAGAATGCCTTGGAGTTTGTTTTTTTTTTTTTTCTTTACTGCCACCAAACCCCATGCCTTTCAACTTGGGAAAGCAAGTCACAACTAAGCTGCAACGAGGTCAAAGTCACAGAGCTAAATGTTACAGTTGCTGCTCAGACAAAACTCCCAGACACCAGAGTTTTGCTAAATTTGGGGGGAGGGGGTTAAATGTATTTTTCCCCAAATATATGCCTTTACTTTGTTTATCTTTCCCCTGTTTTAATTATTTGCATTACATGTTGCACAGAATACTTGGGAAAGCATTAAACTAAATTTCATGATAATAAATAAGATATATAATACTAGATATTTTTAATTTAAACTAGTATTTTTTTTAGTGCTGAATAAGATTATCAGTCCTTACTCAGCCTGATTTACTTATGCTATTTGTTAAAGCCCAACATTTATTTTTCTCTGCCATTTCCCTCTTAACGTATAAAACTGCTTTTTATCCACAGCTTTCTTTTATTCCAGTGAAAACATAACTCTGGAGAACGATGAAATTATCATCAAAATAAATGACAAATCAAAACACTGACACAAGAAAGCCTTGTAGTTATGTAAAAATAAATAAAAATAAATAAATCTATATGTATATAAAGCAAAAAAAATAAAACTAAACCCCGGCATCCCTCCTTTTGTCTGCAGGAGGTTAAAATGCAGCAGGAGAAGTTCTGGCTGCGTGGGGTTTGCAGGGGAAGGTTTCTACCTGGATATTTGCACCGCGATTCAGCCCCGGGACCGCTGCCATTTCCCCAGCTCGCCCGCCCAGCCCTGGCCAGGAGCCCCCTGAACCTGCGTGCCCTGTGCCCGGGCTGGCGGAGGTCGCCTGGGGGAGGAGGAGGAGGAGGCAGAAAATGCGATAGATTTCGGGAGGGGGATTTTTCTCTTGCAATAAACCTCGCCTTTTCCACTGGAAAAGGAAGGTGGGTGGCGGAGGGGGGGGCAGCGTGTTCTTCCTCCCCGTTCCAATTCCTGCCGATGATTATTAATATATATATATATTTTTTTTTTTAATCGCTATTTTTAATTCCCCTTGGCTTTCCTCTCTCGCCTCGCCTCCCATCACCCAGGCCCCTGCTCTCTCCAGCCGCGCCAGCCCTTTCAAACCTCCAGCCCCTCTAATTGATGCGTCTGGGCGAGTCTAGACGGGGAGCGATTGAACCGGCTCCCAATTATGTTCTTCACTGCGCCGGAGCGGGTCCTGCCCCTGCAGCAGCAGCAGCAGCAGCAGCAGCAGGGCGAGCCCCCCCCCCTCGATGTCGTGTCCCCCCCCCCTCCCTCTCCCTTTTCCCCGTGCCATTGTTTTGCCGCAGCCCCGCGCAAGTCCCGCTCCGCCCCGCGCAGACAATAGCGCGGAGGCCGGGGGGGGGGGCAAGGGGGGGGCTCCGCGGGGTGCGGGAGGATGCGGGCGAGGCCGCAGGACAAAAGCCGGGCCGGGGAGGATGGGGAGCAGTAAGGTTGTTCCCCCCCCCCCCCCTCCCCTTCCCCATAAGGAATAGGGTGCCCTTAGGGGGGGTACAAAGGTGGGCTGGTTGAGGGAGGGGTGGGGGGGGCAGGTGATAAATAAAATAAAGCCGGCTTCGGGGAAGGAGGACGGGGTTGGGGAGGGGGGGGGGGAATATAACGCCCGAAATTGAGGAGGGGAAAAAAAAAAAAAAAAAGGCTTTGTGGGCATTGTTCTGCCCGAAAAAATAAATAAATAAATATTAAAAAAATAGGCGGGGGGATTAGGGAGTCGGAGAAAAAAAAAAAGAAAGAAAAGGAAAAAAAAAAAAAAGTTAGGAACAAAAATCACAAAAATCAAGCGACAGGCAGAAAACCTTTTCCAGGTCGGTAGCTGCGCACCCCCGGGACCGTCCATAGCCTAAGCTAGTTCATGCCGAGCTGCCACAGCGGCGAGCGAGTTTTGGTGCATTGTGTTTGAAGTTCAAGCATTTGCATTCAGATATCAAACAGTAATTCGGTGCCGTAACAAGGTACAGTAACTTCATTAGAAATCGCCCCGCACAACAGAGATAAGCAATACAGTTCCAACCATAATTAATTTTACAGCGGTTTAAAAATCTAATAAGAAAAACAGCAGCAGGAACATTTTTAACATTTGCCATTTACAGATCGTTTTGACCGAAAAACCAGGAAAGTTTTCAGTTCCAGAAAAGCACTACAACAAAACTTCAGCATTTGCTCAATATTTTCTTTTCAGTAATTTCCAACCACCGGTACATGCAACCATTTTATTCTTTATTTTCGAGCTAACAATCAGGAAGATCCGACCCGTCCCCTGGCTTTTTCATATATATATATATATATTTTTTTTTTTTTGGCCTTTTTTTTTTTTTTTTTTTTAACCCACGGAGCACATTTCTAAGATTAATCGTTCAGTTTTTAAACTTGGAAGCATGAGGCATGCTGGGATTTCAGCTGAGGTCAAGCACCAATGTACCGAGCTGTTACTGTTACGCTCTCAGGGTACTCTGTGCTGCTCTCAAGAAGGAGGAAAAAAAAAAGAGAGAGAGAGAGATGCTGTATGCACTGGCCTGCAGCAAGGCAAGTCTCTCAGTATGAAAACACAGGCATGGATATTAATACACCTACATATGTAAATATATATACATATCTAGGGTTTTATTTACCTACATACATATTCATACACACGTATCGTCCATATGTGTATCTATACACACACCTCAATAGCTGTATTTACATGCATCCATATCGTGTATATCTTATCTACACGCGCGGATATAATAATCGCTATATGTGTACACACATACACCCCCATATCTGCATCAGCTGTAAAATTATCTCCGGAATATACACACACAAAAAAAAATCTCTGTCATCCAAACGCTGGTTTTAATTCGAGATGAGATTTTTTAAGGTAAATGGCCACAACCACCGCCCTACTATTAGCTGATCAGCCCTAAGGAGGAGAGAGACACTTATTTTTTTTTTTTTCCCTTAAAAGGTCTACCAAACACTATTGTATGTGTGTGTATACGTCTCTATATATACGCACGCGCGCACACATATACATAGATATAAGATATTTTTTTAATAAAATAAAATAAAGATGTCAAAGCACAACTCACAGCTCCCAAGAGCCTAACCCGTGGATTTAAAAGCTAAACATCACAAGTTAGGGTCTCAGGGATTGAGAGGGGCGCAACAAACTATTTCTTGCAAAAAAAAGGGATCAAAAATAAAAGATAAAAAGGAGAGAGAGGAAAAGAATAGCAGGCAAGTTCAATTCATGGCTCAAGATTACAAAACAGGACACACAGGTGGAAGGAAAGAGCTTCTCTAAGGACCCTCTGTTGAGAGAATACATTCCATTTTTAATCGTTTATACAAAAATGACAAGGCGCGGCAGGTTCCTTACAGCTTCCAACAACGTCGCTTGCGACAAATACATTAAAAGTCTCCGCATTTAAATAACGAAGAGGAAGAAAGGAAGGGAAGTTCGGGGCAGTGACGGAATTATTTTCATTGTTTCAACGAAAAGGAATGCAGAAATAAGAGCAGGAATATGCAGGCTCTCCCTCCAGCCGCCTGGCACAAAGCATGCAGCAGCATAAAGGCGCTGCCTCCCCGCCCCCTCCGCCAGCCCCGCGGCCGGCAGGGATGGAGAAGAGGAAGAAAAAAAAAAAAAAAAAAAAAAAAAAAAAACCCGAGTCGCAAGAAAATCAGGTAGAAACTCACCACTTGGAAGCGGGGGAGGCTCCAGTTCTTCAGCGCCGAGAGCTGGGGGGGAAAAGCCCCGGCGGCGGGGGGCGGGCGGGCCCCCGGGCGGGCAGGGGCAGGGGCAAGGGGCAGGGGTAAGGGCAGGGGTAAGGGAGGGCAGAGCCGGGACCAGGCTGGGTGCCCGCCGGGTTTTGACACCCGAGCGAGCGCGGGCGAGCGAGCGAGTGCGAGCGTGCGGTGTGCGCAAGCCGGGGGAGGGAGGCGAGGGGTGGGTGTGTGCAGCTGGGCAAGCCGCTTGCATTTTTAAAACATCTTTTTTTTTTTTTTTTTTTTTTTTTTAAGGGGAGAAAAAAAAAAAAAAAAAAAAAGGGAATATATCAAGGAAAAGAAAAGGGGGGAAAAAGGAAAAGGAACCGAATTCCTCCGCAGCACCTCGCCTGCCGCCCTCCTCCCTCCGCGCTCCCACCGCCGCCGCCGTTGTTATTATAATTATAATTATCAGCGGCGTTATTAAAGCGGGGGGGGCTGGGGGGGCTGCGAGCTGCGGCCCGGCTCCCAGCCCCTGCATCAGCTGGGGCCAGCCGGGAGCCAGAGCAAGCCCCAGGCTGTCAGCCCCGGCCGCCCTCTCCCTTGCCAGCCGCGGGCCGGGCTTTTTTCGAAGGCAAACCTGGAGAAAAACCCATTTTTTTTTTTTCCTTTTTTTTTTTTTTTTTTTTTCCCGGGGAGAGGAGGGTCCCCGAGCCCCGCGCACACCCGCACCCCCCCCACCCCCCCACCCCGCACACACACACAAAAGGGTCTCCATCCTGCACCGACTCCTCTCCGAGCACCTTGTGCAACCCCAGCCAATGGAAATTTACGCCGGCCATAACCGAGAGCAGGATTTCGTCCCCAGCTCGCCACCTCCTTCCCCGCTCTTCTCCCCCTTTCCCTCCCTCCCTCCCCTCCCTCTCTTTCCCCCCCCCCCCCTTTCCTCCCCCCCCCCCCAAATAAATAATATGGAGCTGCACCCTCCACCCATCTCTGGAGCTGCTTCAGGGCCCAGCGGCAGAACCGGGGGGAAGCCCGAAGGTGCCGGAGGGGGGGGTAAAAAAATCCCAAATTTCCGCCGCTCCGCGCCCGGCGCTGCCCAAAGCGGCCCCCCCCCGGCCCGGCCCCGCACGGCCCCGCACAGCGGTCACGGGCCCCATCACCGACCCGGCGGCACTCCCTCCGTCCTTTTCTCACCTCAGGAGTCTGAGCCCATTCACCAAAGTCCTTCCTCGTCCAGGATCTCAAATCTTTGCCTTTTTTTTTTTTTTTTCCTCCTTTTTTTTTTTTTTTTTCCTCCTTCTGGATCAGCCAGTCCCGACATCATTAAACTACAGTCCTCCTCTTCCTCCTCCTTCCTTCTCCCCCTCTCTGTCTCCCCCTCGCTCCTTTTTTTTTTTTTTTTTTTTTTTTTAATTTCAAAAAGGGGGGGAGTAAAGGCGGGGGGGGGGGGGGACGGCTGGTGGGGAGGGGGGGAGTAGACATAGCTGCATGAAGTGGCTGCCTTTTAGAAAGCACATTTAATCTTTACTGGCTCCCCTAGGCTTCGATGAAGTAGAAGGGAAAGGAGAGGAGAGGGGGAAAGAAAAAATCCAGGCAAGGGAGGCTGTTGAGGGACAGCAAGCATCAGGCTCAAATCAACGACCAGATGAAAATGTACTAGACCACACTGCCCCCTCTCTTCCTCTCGCTCTGTCTCCGTCTCTCTCACACACTCTCACTCCTGGAAAGCTTCAGTGTCTGGTTACAGACTCTTTTGGATCCTTCCCCCCCCCCCTCCCCACCCTCGCCCTTTGCCAACTATCCTAGAGATTCCTTGCATGCCTACTTAAATCTTTAACAGAATAAGGACCCGGCTCCCCCCGCCGCCGCCGCCAGCCTCGCACACACACCAGCCCGGCTCCCCCCTCCCCAATAATCCCTTAAGCTCCCGGGAGAAACCCCACAGCCCCCGGGAGAAACCCCAAAGCCCCCCAAGGAGAAACCCCACAGCCCCCGGGACCCCTCCGGCAGCCGACTGCTGCCCCACGCCGCCATCCTGCGGGGGTGCTTGAAGGGGGGGGCGGGGGGAGGCAAAAAAAAAAAAAAAAAAAAAAGGAAGGGGGGAGGGATGGAAGGGATAAGGGGGGGAATAGGGGGACCGCAGCCCTTCGCCTGGCATCCCTCTGGCTGGATCTGGATTTTAAAACAATAAAATCCGCCGCTGCTGCTGCTCTGTCGGCTTCCCCCCCGCCGCCCCCCCCCGGCACGCTGCAGCCCGCAGCCGCCCGTGGAAATCGCAGGGAGGCAGCAGGCTGCCTGCCTCATGCCCGCGATGACTTTCGAGCTGCCAAGCTCCTCTCCTCGACCCCCCCCACCCCCCCCCGACACACACACACCCCCCCGAGCCCTCCCCACAAGCCAGCCCTCCGCTCAATGGCAGCCCCGCTGCTGCCTCGCAGCCCGGACTATATTTGCAAGATGTGCTAATTTACCAGCTATATGCCCTTGGATTTTGAAATGAACTCATCAGTCACTGCTCCTAGGACCGATGCTCTCCCTCTCTCTCTCCCTCACACACACACACACCCTCCGCTGCAGACATGTTACTCATTCTCCAAGCATTTCCTCTCCCAATGTCCGTCAGACGCATATACACTTCATTGATCAAACCAAATCCCCTGATAACGATAAATAATAATACAGACAGTTAACATCAGCGGGGAGCTGGGGGGGGGGAGAGGGGCTGACGACTAAATCTGCATTGTGCTTTTGGAGGCTGGTGCCTGCAGAGCTGCACAATGCGGAGTGCAGGTACACCCCACAAGACCCCCACCTTGCCATGTGGGGCCTCACCTGCCACCCCACATCCACCAGATCTATGGGGCTGGGGGGGGAAACACGCCACCAGTGCCCTAGACCTGCCCCTGTACAGGCTGCTGGTGGGAGCAGGAGGTGCTGCTCGCCATAAAGCACCTAGCACTAAATCAATAGGGCAGTCTCTTTGTTACGCCGGGCACTGCACAGGTGCTTTTAGGACTGCAGCGGTGAATGCAGCTGGATATCCACGGCTCCTGAGGGTGCACAGGGAGATTTTCCGAAGCACCTCCCTTAGTTCCCACTGAAATCCTTTGTACTGCGGACAGCCAGCACCTATGCGAGGCACCAGGTTAGGGAGGCGGGCTGTTAAACGTGCCTCTGTGCCTTGCCAGGTATTTTCAAGGGCTTTGGTTTCGGGGTTTTTGTGGCTTTGCTTCCTACTTCTCTGGGGCTACAATGGGGGAGGCAGGGGAAGCTGCCTCTTGGGATTTTGGCTAGTTCAGCGTCTTGTGTGGGTCTGGCAAAGAGAAAGTGACTGCAGTGTAAGTGTTCGGGAAGTTGGGGAGGGTGGGGCTATCTAGAAATCTTTGACTCACTGGGGTAACTCCCTGAACACAGGAATTAAATTATTACTCAAAGCAGGCTACATTTTATGAGCAGCAGCCTTAGAATGAAATTCTGCATGCATACAGAGTTTGAAACGAGTAAAATAAACATATGGAAATACGTATACAATACATAATTCAATTATTGGGTGCAATGCAGAAGTCCCTGGGTGATAGAGGAGGTGGAATTATGCAGTAAAGACAGTCCAGGAATCCATGCATACAAATTTTCTCATTTATACCGACACAATCCTGATTGACATCAGCCTAGATAGGGGAAGAATCAAACCCTGTGTACTGAAGGATCTAATCTTTGGGAAAAGTAGACTGGATTAGAGAGACTGTATCTGCCACCATCCTTTCACTACCCGTACAGATACCATCCTCAGCATCATAGCAGTAGGTAAGATTTTGCCATCACAGAGAATTATTTACACCCATTGTCTTTTTCACGTTCCCCTATCTTCCTTCCAACAACAATAACAAAAAATGTTTGATTTTTTTTTTTAAAGTTTTGCTGCAAACACATAATTTCTTTACACAATTTAACCAAGTCTTTGGAGGATACTTATTTCAAGCAGTTAACACCTGACCCCAATTTTTGTGGGTAATTAGTGAGCTAGATAACCACACAAAGTGGGTAATTATTTAGTACCCAAGGGTACTGTACAAGAGGGTAGAGGCTGGCAATGTTAACAAAAGCACATCTCTAATTATTGTATCCATACTGGTGATGTTTTAAGAAGAGTTACTCCATCTAATGATCCATGATAAATCAGTAAACTATTTTGCTTCCCTTAGCATATATGGCTGGTCTAATCAAGGGCAGTATGTGAGGGCAAAGCAAAGCCAAGCCCCAGCTTCGGACTATACACAGACCTCGAGAGAAGCCAGAGGCATCCACTTGGAGAAGTTGGCTACGACTGGAAGCATCTGCTCTAGAACAGCAGCCCCAGAGCCATGACTAAGAGCTAACAGTTGGTTGAGCTGACTTGAGAAGCTTGTAGAATATGCCTCGGGGTCTACGTCTCGCTTGGCAATGTGGCCATGCTGGGGGATCTCTGTATGCAACAAGAACCCTAGTTGTGGCTTAGCAGAGTTCAGCCTTGCTAATTACAAATCACTTTGAAAGCTGTACAAGTGAGGTGCTTTGTGCCTGTGGAAGGTCAAGGCCGTAATGCAAGAAGGTAGCATTGAAAATAAAAACAATACAAAAAACCCCAACCAAATCGTGTTGGATAAATTTCAAACATTTGCCATCTCTAGTGTCTAAATTTCAAAAAACACATTTCTCACATCGAAAATACTAAATCTTCATTTAGTATTGGGATTAGTATTAGTATTGGAGTTGTGTTTTTTTTTCTCTTTTCACAAATTTAAGAAGGGATGGGAACTATCTATTTCGAAATACAGACTAAATAAAGAAGATTCAGCTACCAAAAAAAAAAAAAAAAGTGGCTTTGATCATTAGGACCACGTGAAGACAGGAGTTATGTTGGAAACAGATTCGTAATCTCAAACACAGCAGTCACTATCCACTGACCACTATTTGCATCATTACACACACTTAAGGACATCTTCAAACCAAGACATTACGCTTAGCAGCGAAGCACTTTCCTTTTTTAATTGCTTTTATGAATCATCACTAGCATCCGGACACTTTATTTACTGGAGTCCAGCAACCTTGTTTTTCAAAGGCTTAGACTCCAACACCTAAGGGCCTCCAGGCTGGCACAAAGAAATGGAGGCGTCATCCTCTTTTGATCATAGCCACGTATTTAACTCAGCTTGGGACTGTGCAAGCCAGGCACTATAGAAGCAAACCCAAACAGCAACATCACCTGACACTGTGACTGCCAGGAATTTGGAATTTAAACAGAGAAAGTCTGAGGGATTTCCCTAACTCCCCGTATCTCTCTTTTGTTCTTTTATTTTTTATCAGTTAAAAAAAGTTCAACGGAAAGAGGCCTGAAAATTGTTCTTGTATTTTAAAAGGGACCAAATGCCTGTGGTCCATTTAGTCCTGAGCACTCCTGTTCATATCACCAATGTGAACAGGTTAAAAAGAAAAATATATATATATTGCCAAAACTGGGGATCAGTTTGGAGCAGCTGTGAGGTGGACACCTGTCCACTCTGAACTGCCCCAGAAGATTGAAGCTTCTTTCATGTGCTACAGGCCATTTAATAACCCAGCAACTTACAGTGTTTGGCTGCTACCATGCTGAGGTGGGTATAAATAAATTGGTATCCCCTTCGCTAATCCTCTTAGGGACCCAGTTTGCAGGAATAGTTCTCATAGAAATGGAGCAAGAGGAATTTTGCAGAGAGAAGCTGGAAAAGAGAAAGGAAGAATGAATTTAATCGTGGACACGGGTTCAAAGGAAACCTCGGTAGCTGCACAGTTATAGGAGAAAGCAGAGTAAAACCAAACTATTACTATTTTTTTCTGAAATGAATTGGAATTAGTGGTTCAAAGAAGACATAGGAGAAGGGATGCTCAGCCAGAGGGGATGCTTTAGGGACTTAAGCATTCATAAGAAAACCTTAAGGTCTTTTTGAGACAACTCAGTAACTTCACTACAGACCAACTTGAGCCCTTCATTCTCCTGTAGTAGAAAAAATAAAACGGGTGATTTTACCATACAAATGTTATTTAGGAAATAGCAATTCTGTCTCAGCTATATGGGCAGCATATATGAGAATATAGGAGAATAGCTTAAGAATTAATACAATATCTTCAGCAGAGGCAAAAACATTTACTAATATAGATAAAGAGTTCTAACACAGATTGAGGAAGGGAACAAATTCAGTGTGGGGCACATTCAAGGAAAGCAAAGTTGGGCAAAGTGCCATGGTTTGGGCACGACCAAGTGAGGAGTTTGACAACCAAAGGCTTCTAATTTGAGCGTCACTGTCTTGTATACCACTGTCCATTCCACATCAAGGCAGTTATAAAATTGTTTTACCTCTTCCTGCCTTGCTTCCTACCATACATAAAACCATCACAACAAAGCTTACCGTGTCCACAGAGAGTTCTGAGGTCCTCAGAAGACAGCTGCTATGTCCAGATTACTCTCGTTATCCTCATCGGCTGCCCTGTCAGTTGACAAAGAGGGTGGATTGTGGTTGATGGCCATGGAGATTCCTTTTCATCACCAACAATTCCTTTTAATCTAACTCACCCACCAGCTCTCATCTCCAAACCCAACAAGGCATATAACAGTAAATCACCTCACCCAGGCACTGCCCCAGCTTGGAGAGGGGATCGTTGTATTTTTTCTGCCTCAACCCAATTCTGCTAAGAGGTTTCTCAAAGATCTTTGAGCTGCAACTCTATCAATTCCTAGATAATGGAGGACAATTAAAGTAGTAAGGTGCCAAAGCCATAAAACACTTCTATCCCAAGGTGAGGAAAGGAAGGAAAAGGACAAACGAGGGAGTTTCACCTCCTGGTGCTGCAGTCCTGGAACTCTGCACCACTCAGTGCCCTCAGTTTAAAACCAACTTTGGGAAAACGGGAGGAGTTCAACAAAAGGTCAGTGGATGTGACAGAGATTTAAAAGAAAGGTTACAGAGATGAATTCATCCACTATCAAAGAAAGAGCATGAGAAGCAGGAATGCAGTACCTAGAGTTATGTGTGTTTTGCCCACGGGGAGTTCATAAGCTGCTGTTGTCCGTGAGTTCTCCTATACATACCGGATTTAACCAAACCCCAAAACTCAAGGTGAAACTCAAACTTCTCTGGATGAAGTCACGCAAAAATGTACTACATCTACTCCTGCATGATTTGCCATTTCCATATTGCATAAAGCACCTGAAACCCCTCATATTTCACATGGTTTCAGGTCCACAAGAAGTTTCAAATAAGGCTTGATTCATTCAAAACATGACCAAAGCTCCAAAAACCTCACTAAAATTTCATATAAATATGGCCATTTTGAGCTGGTGGTGATAATTCTTAGGAGATGAGGTTTCATACTGAAAGCCTGACATGTTTTTTAATACTTCAGTTACTAATTAATGGAGCTTTATTAATCTGTTAACCTACAACACCCATACAAAAACTTCCTCTCTGATGAGCATTTTGTTTCTTTCTTGACATTTGTTAGAAATTTCATGGAACCATTACATGGGAAAGGCGGTGTCCCTCAATCAACTTTTTTGTTGCTTTACTTGAGGGTCACACTGTAAAAAGAGGTCAGAGGGCAGAGCCTGCTTCTTGCAGCCCACAGATCTGCTTCCATCTCCTTTCCATTGTGGAGCCTCTGTCCTACAGTCTATGTCCAATTTTCCCCTATATAAATAACATATTTCTGTGATTCTGTGATACCTATTTCACTTGAGAAGGAAGCTGCGATTCTGAGCCTTTATGTTTGTGAAGAGCTCTGACATATTACAAGGAGCTGACAAACCTCGATGCATGGTCATCCTTAAATATCCCCCAAGACCTGTCAGACTCAGCTTTCCTCACCAGTACGCACTTTCTTTTTAAAGAGAGGGCGGAATTATTTCAAAGATAAAACAAACAGAGATTGTTTTTCAGCTTTTCTAGTACTCCGGCTACAGCCTACGGTTGCCACAATTTTTAAAAATAAATAAATAAATAAACAAGGGGGGCATGTTTCTCCCAACAAAAGAACACTTGTCTCAGCTATTGCTTAAGAAGCAAACCAAAAGGTAGAACACCAAAATATTTTCTGTTGCTCGGTGGTGGGCACAAGCCGCCGATCCCTGTGCAGGGACAGGCAGAGGCTGGCACAGAACCATCCGGATGGATCCCAAATCAGCGGTGACAGTGGCAAGAACCCAAAAGACCTGTTCCTATTCCCGGGCCTGCCGGTCGACGTGCTAAGTGGCTTGGGCAAGTTTCTCCGTCTCGTTGTGCTCCCTCTTCTGCCTGCCTTATCTGTTTAGGCTCCTGGGACAAGGAGTCTCCTCTCACGGGGTATTTACAGGATGCCAAGGCATTTAGGTATTGCTGTCAAATAAATAACAGGCTTGGGAACTTTAACACAGGGGAAGGCTGAGCGCAAGCCTAGTCTCCCTTACCTCTTGTGAAACCAGAGGCGGAGGTCTTAATATACAGTAACTCCTTTTTGGTTGCTTCACTGGTGTTGAGAGCGTTATTAAAAATCAGAAAGCCGTATATCAAGAGGCACGTGACAGCGAGCAGGAATGCCAGAGCGTGGAGAAGACACGGCAACCTCAGAGGACTTACGTTTGGCCCGGCAGACACCGCTCAGCCTCTGCACGCCAGAAATAGCCGCGGGACGCAGGCGCAGCAGCCAGTCTGCCCGCTCCTGGTGCCAGTCTGTGCTTCTGCATCACTTCACATTGCAGCGCAGGCTCTATTACACCCGAAGTTTAAATTTAGTCGTTTTTGTAACACAAAGAGACAGTGCAACGTTTTTACGACAGAGAAAACGAGGAAAACAAATGGAACAATCTGCATATGATGTTATTTAAGTTACGGTAATAAATGACGTTCTTTAAATAGGATTTTTAAAGTGTGATGATAACCTTTTCTAGTTGATTGTGCTCTTCTAAGAGTACTATTAGATTATAAATATTGTCAATCTTAACTCTACAGCTAATGAATGTATCCGTCAGCATGGTGGTAGCCCACATGAAACGTGTTTTAATGTGGATATTCGGTGTGCTCACTTACAACTCCAGTATGAGACAGAACACGGCAAGCTGAACAATTCAGATATGATCAGTACCTCTGTCTTCACAAAACTCCTTCTGCGGAACAAGGACCTCTATTTTATAGACAGTGACTAAAAACAAAGAAAAATAAGTGACTCATCAAAGATCCCATAGGGAGTCTGTAGCAGAACATCAGGGTCTGCACCAATGGCTTAATCAAAGAAATAAATCGTTCCACTATAATGGTCGAGGCTGTGCACAGTCTTCTCCCCATTAATAATAAAACAAGACAAGCCCCACGAGCTGAGCACAAACAAGAATCCCTCACACTGCAGAGGATTTTAAAATTACAAAGCTAATTCACCTGGCAGCTAGGAGAAATCAGATCTCCTCTTTCCCAGGAGCAGCACACATCAGCCCTGACAGCAAACACCTACTCCTGGGTGCCCGTGGCTGCAGAGAACCACAATTCTGACTCTGGTGCACAAAGAAACCCTTCCCAAACCATCCCGTACCTGGGATGGATCATTATCAACACCTAGTTTTTATGGCCTGACCTGCACAGATGGCCTCATGCTTCGTGCTAGAAGGGGCTGTCCACATGTACCAGGTCCTAAGTCATCGTTTGATCACTTTTCTGCTTAATTGCTGTTTTTAATTACTTCCATGGTAACAACAAAAAGTCAGTCTAGGAATGGAAAACAATTCTTTGAACGGCTTCTGCCTTTTTCTTAGGCTCAAACTACTGCTGCACAACCCATTCCCGATTAATATGGGGCCCTCACGGGAAAGCCACTGCCTGTCTACTGATTTCATTTCCTACATCTTCTCTTCTTAAAATCACAATACGAGTCCCCCAAAAGCAAGGGCAAAAGGTCCTTTATTTTATCTTTACAAGATGACAGTGTTTTTTCCCTTGCTATTTTCTTGCAGGAAGATATATTAGCACTACATTTGCTCCTCCACGCGGTGGGATTTCTTAAATAAAAACGTATGTTACATACGTACGGACTTGGAACCAGAGCTGCATTAGCCTATTAACTATCCACATTTGCTTCAGACTTGGCCAGCCACCTAGAAAACCTGCCAAGACCTTTCTGGCAGCCTTTTCCCAACAGTTCCAGGAAAACATGGAATATTCAAAGAATTTTAGGGCCTCCCAGCTTCGTTTGTCACCACTCTCCTTGCCCACTTATAACTAAATCACAGGCAAATTGCTCTAATGCCCTATTAAAGATTTAAAAATGGCCTTTCTCCACAGCAGGGTATCTGAGGACAACTCCACGCTAATATATAATGCAGTGCCCACGTTCGTCCGTAACGCGATGTGGCACGAGGCAGGCCGAGGGCCTGGCAGCAAGGAAGGGGGCTGATTTACAAACTTCGACCTCCACAAGTGAATTTCTGTCTTGCCTGGGGTTTTTAAACCTCCCTCAGATGCCCAGTCAAAGGAGAGATTCATGTTCCCCTCATTGTTACTCTGGCAAATTACCACTGGGGTCTCGGGCCTGTGTTATAGAGGATCTATCTCCTTTTAAAGCTGTGGCAGGAAAAAGAGAAAAACCCTGCTGCCCGTACTAAGAGCAAAAACTGGCCCACTTTTAAAAATTCAAGAGAATTATGCTTTAAATAATTTGACGAGGCTTTCTTATTGCACAGAAGAAGCCTGCCTGTGATTTCAGACAAGTAGTCTTCCCTAATTCCTAGCACTAATTCATACATTAGACATTTAACCCTTGACTTCAATATGGATTGCAAGTTCACAGTGACACCAAGCACCCCACATCCCTGCTCTCATGGTCCACTGCATCCTTCCTAGGTGCCCTTCAGCACCCCTGGACTCAGTTCTGGCGCAGGTCTCTGCACACCGAGTGCTAGGATTTCACCTTGCATCCTGTTATTCTCAAAACTTGCCACTCTTTGCTCCTGAAAACCTCTTCTAGCACTTCAACTCTGCAGTCACTATAGGCTTACAATTCTCTACTTCAAAGGCATGTGACAAACATATCAAGAAAACACAAATAAAATACTGGCCATCACCAAGATAATATACGTATTTTGCAATTCAAAATTGCCCCTCTATTGGAAATAAACCAAATGGAGCATTATAGGACACACTGCACTAAAAATTGCACCAGCTGATCTTGGATTTCTTCAGCCCCTTTAGCTGAAGATGGAGGAGACTTCGAGACAGGTCCCTAATTCTGATGTACAGCCCTGAGCGATCCCTTTAGGCAATGCGGCCACCAACATAGGGCCCTTGTGGATTTATTACAGCACTATGGTTACAGCTTGCTGACCGGTGACTTACATCCTTGAACCCTACAAACAGACATGATTCAGCAGGCAAATTACATCATTACTAACATAGTAAGCAGTAGACACTGATTTTATTTTTTCCATTAAACCTACACTGTTTAATTTCTCGCTCAGTACCCATTTTCACATACAAATGAAGGGAAGCACGTGACTGAAACATCTCCATTCTCTTAATAATAAGTTCTCCTTCATAAATAAGTTCTCCTTTCATATTTCAAAAGCTATTGGAAAGGCAATTTCCAAAATCAACTCAAACCACAAGATCTGTAGCAGACAGCAATTGTGCCTTGCCTTCTTCCCTTCCTGTTTCCTTCCTGTTCTTCCTCTCTTCCTTATTTTTTTTGTAAAATCCTGTCCTCCAAACCTAACCACCTCACTTATGGGAGGAAATAGAAAGCCAAGGGGAAGCTGCGGCATTTGTCAGACTGCAGACAGCACTATTGCAAACCGCTCTCTGGTGCCACAACTGCTACTCCTTGTCAGAAGAGATGAGAAGGCACTTCAAACACAAGGGAAAAAAAAAATCCTTTAAAATACACCCACATCAGGGACATTAATCCAGGAATGGGTTTAACCTTCTGCTTGCAACAATTCCTTAGAACTCACTAACACCAAGGAACACAAATGCTGCCTGCAGCGTTCAGGGGACTGGGTGTAGGTACCCCAAAGCTAGAACATCCCCGAGCAGCCCCAGTTTCCAGCCAGCACCATGGGAAGAGCCAGCTCAGGCCCCCAGCAGCAGGGCTGTGTGAGTGCTGCACCATGCCCAAGCCCCTCTTGCCCCGCAGCAGCCACTCTGTGTGACCAGCTCCTGCGTGCCAAAGCCCAGCTCTAACCTCAGGCTGCAAAGTGGGTGTGAGAGCAGAACCAAGGTAAGCCTGGTGCTGAAACTTTTACTACTTCTGGTAACACCAGCGTTCCAAGAAAATTATTTAATAAGGAAAGAAAGTGTCCCAACACATGGTTAGGTGCAGACTTGCAATCCTGGCTCTTCCACCCAGCCCTTCCAGTGATGCTGCCTGCCCCCGGAGACATCCTTCACCTCCCTCTGCTTTTATTTCTGTACAGAGCCCACACGAGCCTTCCCCATCACACACAGCGACTGCAAGGAGCTGCAGGTGGACCACGCCGCTGGATAACTCCTTTCAATGCTGCTGTACCATGGTTATTCAGTATGCGAGCCGAAGGGAAAGCCAAACATCTATCAGCTCTTCATTTTATTTGTCAGTGGTGAACTATGTGCTTAATCCTTTGCAAGGGACAGTCGCGGACTGGGGCAGAACCCAGACTTCTCTCGCATACCTTCTCCAAGAGTGACAAGTGTCAGCGGCTTTGCACAGTCGAGGGCTGTCCTTCCCACTGGTTCTTCCCTGGTCCCGAACTGCTGCACTTCATCCTAAACCCTGACACGTGAAGTCTAGACTCAGCTCTAAAGTTATCAGCACGAATTAGCAAAGTTCTACGTATGGTTATTAAAAACTTAAGTATCTAATCTGTTCTAGGCTTGCAAACTTCTTGGTCCCATTAACTGCTAAAAGCAATTAGGTTCATTTTTAATTAAATACTGGTGAAAAAGAATTGCTTTTTAAAACATTTTCTATTTGTCACCATTTAATTTCACTGCACGTCTCCTTGTACTCACTTTGCAAGACTACCAGAATTTCTCGCTCTACCTCCTCATTATTTCTTTTCTTTTCATTATGATGTAAATTTGTTTTCCTTTCTAAGGGGCAATGGTTCTGGGACATTGATTCAGATACCTCCATGCTTGGGCCCATTTTTGCTGGCACCTTTTTGAGCTACTCATCCTCAGATTTGGTAGTACAGCTCCTGCTCTGCATGCCTCACTGTCTTTGGTTCCCAAAACATAGAGGGTACTCACATGAAATTCATGTCAATACCACGCAGGATGTATCCACTCCACATTTATTATAGGATCAAGCCCTAAAATGTTCAAAAAAAGCTTCCATTGATGGCTTTATCTGTGGATCTAGGAACACCAGGCAACAAGGTCTGACTGCCTATCAGGGATTCAATGAGGAAAAAGAAAAAAAAAAATCTTTCTTTACCAAACATTTGCCTGACTGGTTAAGGCTTTTTTGGACTTTGTCAGTTGCACGTGTAAAAAATGGCCCATTCACAAAAAATACTCTTATACTACAATTGTTAGACATGACATTTACACGTCACTGTTAATTATAAATGACTTGATCTTGACATTTCATTAATACATTATGAAAGCCATAATGAAACCCTATGAGCTGTGTGTCACACCTGTAACAAAGACAAGCTTTAGAGAAATCACAGTCTTGTCACCAGACCTTGGCAAAGGGTGGAAGAAAAAAATGGCAGCGGGGTGACTCACGCTCGAGGTGGGTTTATCCTCAGTGGCCCGAAAGGGGCGAGGGGAAGCCCCCCACCCCAACATTTGCTCCTCTGTGGCATGATGCAGTAGCTCAGTTACCTGAACACAAGAACCTACAGAAACATAGATGGAAAATAGAAATTAAGGACTCTGTAATGGCTACACTGCTTTAAATGGTATTTGTAGAAGTGATGATGATTGTAGTGGGCTTTTTTCTTAAAAAAAAAGTGGTGGTATGTTAAGAGGTGGCTGGCAGGAGACTGTGTGTGGCTTCAGGTTGTATCCTGCAGCCCCCAGCAAGGCCCCCACCTGGAGGCTGACAGCTCCTCCCCATGGTGAGTGCCTACATCCTTAGTGGCAGTAGCAGCTCCTCTCCTGCTTTTAAGAAAATAATTGTTTGGAATATTTTTAGCTAGTGGGATCTCATTGGCAGCACTCCTCAGACAA